TATAACAGGATGCCCTTTGGATTGAAAAATGCTCCGGCGACCTTCCAAAGGCTGATGAACAACGTCCTTACCGGACTACAAGGCGTAAAATGTTTTGTGTATCTGGATGACATCGTCATTTACGGAAAATCACTCCAAGATCATAACAACAAATTAATAGAAGTCTTTCGACGCCTCGAAGAGCACAATTTAAAATTACAACCGGACAAATGCGAATTCCTTCGAAAAGAAGTCGCCTATTTAGGACAGATCATATCCGACAAAGGAGTTGAACTCAATCCGGAAAACGTAAAAGCGATTCAAGGAATCAAGAAATTAAAAAGCCCCAAGGACATAAAATCTTTTCTAGGACTTGTAGGGTATTACCGTAAATTTATTCCGAATTTTTCAAAAATCGCTAAACCTCTAACAACATTGCTAAAAAAGGATGCTCACTCTCAAGAATATACTCACCAAAGAACCGATTCTCCAATATCCGGATTTCCAGAAACCGTTTATTCTGATGACCGATGCATCAAATGAAGCCATCGGAGCCGTATTATCACAAGGAAAAATAGGAGCGGATCTTCCGATCTCGTACTATTCCAGGACTCTGAACAAGGCGGAACAAAACTATTCGACCACCGAGAAGGAACTTCTGGCGATTGTAGACTCAGTTAAACATTTCCGACCCTATCTTTTCGGACAGAAGTTTACCATCTGCTCAGATCATAAGCCGCTAATGTGGTTAATGAACTGCAAGGACCCTTCGAGCCGGTTGGTACGTTGGCGCCTCAAACTTCTGGAATATGATTACGAAATTCACTATAAACCAGGAAAATCCAACACTAACGCTGATTTCCTTAGTCGACCAATTAATCAAATTAATCATGACAACAAATTAAACTTTGAAGATTTCAAGACCTATCATCAAAAGAACCTCGAAATACCAACTCCTCCGATGGATAAAACGGAAAAAACGAAAATCAAGAATTTAGTCATTCCCTTCGCATGCGACGCACTCAGCGGAAACCTTCATTACGACTACGTAAGGCAAAATTTTCCAACCACAGATCTCACAAGCAAAAACGTTGGAGAAGTAAGAACGCTTAGACTACCAGCCCAAACTATTTACTTAATATACATTAAGCAATTTACCATGGATTCTGCAAACTACCAAACAGTATTTGATACTCTAATTAACTTAAAAATCGTCCTCGATTTTAATAAAACAAAATCATTCACAATCATCAACCTGAGTATTCAAAATCCCTTACTACAACCAAACACGTTAGAAAGTCTTTTACATTATATATTCGAACATTACGATTATAAAATCTTAAACAATGAAAGACTCTACATTCAAACCCCAGAGGAAATGGAGTTAGTTTTAATCGAAAATCATGATCATCCTATATTAGGACATCAAGGCTTTCAACGGACTTACGAAAACATTAAGGAGCGGTATTATTGGGACAACATGAAAGAGTACATCGCGGATTACATCCGAAACTGAAAAATTTGCCAAGAAGCTAAAACAAATTTTAAACCGAACAAGAGTCCGATGCTGATCACCACAACATCTAGCAAATTTTGTGAGCAAGTAGCGATGGACATAGTAGGACCTTTGCCAGAAACCGAGAACGGCAACAGATTTATTTTAACCCTTCAAGATGATCTTACAAAATTCATACNTATAATTATATGATTTTAATACTTTCGATCAGCTAATGTTAAAATATACAAAACGTTCTAATAAGATCGATAGTGGGTATTTGAATAAACTATCTATTTATTTTTATGTACATTTTAATTGCACTATTGTGACTTTGTTTTGCTTTTGTGTATCGGTGGGAGCCTTAATAACTCAAAATCGTACGCAAAGGGATAAGTTTCTCGACTTGCTGATTTTTTTATTGTCTCGTATCTCAAATGAGTATCTGTTATTGATATTGCCTTCGTTTTTATGACAATATCGATATATTCTCGACTGTTGCGACAGCCCTAATATTTTAGGAAGTGTCTCGAGATATACCTATTCCAGAAATAAATTTAAAAAATAAAACTGTGCTAAATATTGGAAAATATGCCAGTTTACGCCAAACAACAATTTTCCTTCGAATAAACAATGCGTACAGCGATATATTTATTGTCTCGTATCTCAAATGAGTATCTGTTATTGATATTGCCTTCGTTTTTATGACAATATCGATATATTCTCGACTGTTGCGACAGCCCTAATATTTTAGGAAGTGTCTCGAGATATACCTATTCCAGAAATAAATTTAAAAAATAAAACTGTGCTAAATATTGGAAAATATGCCAGTTTACGCCAAACAACAATTTTCCTTCGAATAAACAATGCGTACAGCGATATATTTAAAATATTTTATTTTACAAAATTTACTTTAAAATCCACTTTTTCTAAAACATTATAGACGTATAATAAAAAAAAACCAAATAGTATTTTTTGTTTCTTCGTTAAAACTTTTTTTGTGTTCTTCGTAAATTTCGTTTTTGAGGACATTTACAAACTTTCGGACATAAATTACCATCAAACGTCAACATAACGTTGGTAACGCTGTGGGCCTTCAATGACTCTATAGTTGAACTTTTTGAATTCAAACTAGGGTAAGATCTCGTTGAGTCTGATTGTTGCGATTCAAAATCGCTAATAGAAAGTAGTTTGTTTGTGTCAGTGCTGCACACTTCTAAATTGTAGCTACTTAAATAGCAATGAACTTTCGACGAAACTTCTTGAAATTGAACGCACAAATCTGATAATTTTCGTAGACTTCTCTTGTTGGCATCTTGAAGGTGGCGAATAAGAAGGTTTTTCTGAAAATGTGTTAATACATGCATTCATGTAAGGGATANTGACAATATCGATATATTCTCGACTGTTGCGACAGCCCTAATATTTTAGGAAGTGTCTCGAGATATACCTATTCCAGAAATAAATTTAAAAAATAAAACTGTGCTAAATATTGGAAAATATGCCAGTTTACGCCAAACAACAATTTTCCTTCGAATAAACAATGCGTACAGCGATATATTTAAAATATTTTATTTTACAAAATTTACTTTAAAATCCACTTTTTCTAAAACATTATAGACGTATAATAAAAAAAAACCAAATAGTATTTCTTGTTTCTTCGTTAAAACTTTTTTTGTGTTCTTCGTAAATTTCGTTTTTGAGGACATTTACAAACTTTCGGACATAAATTACCATCAAACGTCAACATAACGTTGGTAACGCTGTGGGCCTTCAATGACTCTATAGTTGAACTTTTTGAATTCAAACTAGGGTAAGATCTCGTTGAGTCTGATTGTTGCGATTCAAAATCGCTAATAGAAAGTAGTTTGTTTGTGTCAGTGCTGCACACTTCTAAATTGTAGCTACTTAAATAGCAATGAACTTTCGACGAAACTTCTTGAAATTGAACGCACAAATCTGATAATTTTCGTAGACTTCTCTTGTTGGCATCTTGAAGGTGGCGAATAAGAAGGTTTTTCTGAAAATGTGTTAATACATGCATTCATGTAAGGGATAATATTATAAATACAAAACGTAGAAGTAAACACTAAACGAATTTAGATAAATAAGGAAGCTTTTATAGAGACTAGCAAGCAGACATCAGAAACGTCGCTCCGGAAAACATGTCATAACTTATAAGATAATAAGTAAAGTACAGTTAAACTTCTGTAACTGAAACTTCTATAACAAGGTCAAAAACTGAACCACCTGAAAATTTTTGAAAGCAAATTAGTCAAATAAATCATTAAAAAAAATATATTTCTGTAATCAACCAAACATGCTTGAATTTTGAGCGCTACCCTTATCATTTTTTTGAAGTAAGGAATATGTTTTTCTTGATTTCCTTAAAAATTTTCTAAGACATTCGGACCACACCTAAAATTACTTGCGACCCCTGTTCTATAACATTAAATCTATTCTCTTGACATACATACATAATGTTTTACACTTATACTGGAATTTCTTCTTTTTCCTAAATCGAATTTTTCTATAACTAACAATGATTTTCAAGTGCAGGTGTTACATTATTAATTGCCTCTTTAGTTGGAATTTCTGTTAAAAGAGGTTCAACTTGGGCAAGTTTGACCATATCTTTAAGTTATAAAAATTAAAAGTAAATTCTAGTACAGGAGTTTTAAGTTGTTTCTCAGAAAGAACGCCTAAAACTATATCAAGTTCCAACGTTTTTAATTTGTTATTCACGTATGCGTTGAACCATAAAAATATGTGTTAAGCACTATGCTAATCCCATAAAGTGATAAACTTACGTTATATTTATCTATTTTAGCCATATCTAAATTTTGAATTACAGCTTCAAGATGACGGTCGCATTTTCTTAATTTCCTTTCATTTTCAGCGATCATATTTTGCAAAGCGACGTAACTCGTTTCCCACGTATTATACACTTCTTCGAGTTCCTTTTTTTCCGTAATAACTTCGTTTGTTTTGATTTTCAGACCTACAATAACGTTAAGTAGTTTACATTTATCCAGAAAATATATTTATAATTATATGATTTTAATACTTTCGATCAGCTTCATTTGTTTTCCAAGTCTTCGCTTATTTTTATGTAAAACCGTGTTAAAATTAAAAATGTCGTTTTCCAGTTCCCTCTGTTCTTGCAATTCTTCTCCTAAAGATAATTCATTTGTTCAGAGCAGGTACAAAATTTTTGTGATAAAAAACCTAAATGTACATATAATCGATCGTTATTATTAGGCGATTCATAAATAAGATAAAAATTAACTTCCAAGTTATAAACAAAAACTCCACTTTCCAGACAGAAAGTGGATTTTACCAAAATTTATTATATACATCGTCGAATCTCGCCTTGTTTTGTTATTTAATTTTTATTTTTAAAAAATATAGCAAAAACATACGTTTTACCTTCTGTATCAATAGCCGAAACGCTATTTCGGAATGCAACGTTTGCAGAATTAACAACTTTAAGTGTATTTTCCATTGCAATTATTTCTTTTTCGGCTTTTTTCACTTTATTGTCTAATTGATCACCTTCTTGTTGTAACATATATTTTTCTTGGGCCTTTTTTATTTTAAAATGAGTCACGGACAATGGTTGTCCACTGTCGTCTTTACCCAAACACATAAGCGCCATGTAATACCTGAAAAAAATAACTTATTTAAAACTAAATTTTCCATTTATTTTTATCTTTATAACAGTTCATTAAAAAAGAATGCGCCCCGCACTTTTTTGTGCAAAAATGTTTTAGTGTTTGCAAACGAGCATTTTATGAGTAGTTCCTATAAGTCATCATATCAAGGATAATGAAATAGCGTAGGTCCCTTACCATAGGAACCCGATTTCAGTTAATACCCAACCTTCTTTAGTTTGGCTAAGTAAAACTAAAATTATATGATAATCACAGTTGAAACTAACGCATTTCATTTAAACCAGTTTTTACTAATTAAAAGTAATTGTTACGTAAATTAAAAGTGTTATAAAACGAATTCAACGTTTCTGACCTATATTATCTACAATGTTTAACTTAAACCTAAAATTTACTGGACAATGTCGTAAAGACTAGTTTTGACCAAAATGCGTCTAGTCACAACTAGAATAAACTAAGGATGTTTGTTAATTCGAGTTTTATCTAGCCTAACCTAGAATTGACTTAAAGAAAAATGTTAAAACTAGTTTATATCGCGGTAGAATGTCTATATGTCCATAAAAGTTTTAGATGCCTCAAATTACGGGGAGGATTTGAGGAAAATCATTGAGTAAAACTTCTATAGCGAAGCACTGAGAATATCTAGTTAGAGGTAGTTCAAAGTTTCATGAACCTTGGCATTGAGAAGCGCGCTGAGAAAACTCCGTACTTTTATTGATTTCTACATTTCTTTTTCTTAAAAGAACTCATTGTTTACAAATTATCTGGAGCTTTATCCCAGGTTGTATCACGAGGTACATGGTTATTAGTCGAGTCCATGTTTTTCTAATCCTAATAAAAATGCGAATGTTTGTTTGTTTATTACCATTTCACGCTATAACTACTCAACCGATCACCATGAATTTTTATACACTCATTGTCAGAGATACAAAAAAGAACATAGGGTAAGTACCTTTTATCCAGAAAAAAAATATTGTTCCCGAGGAGTAGAAAATTTGTTTTCATCTCGATAAAGAAGAACAGTATTTACTGTCATTCAACGCAAAGTTTATATTTAACCTAGAAAATTCTAAAATTTAATTTTATCCTGGTGATCCTGTTCAGGACTATTTATCAAATTATTGTATTTTCGATAATTTTTGACACGTATTCGCAGCATTAACGTGGGCGAAGCCGCGAATAGAAGCTGGTATACGATACAATTGCAATAAGGTCTAGAGCTCTCGTGCATGTGAAGGTGCATGAGATTTTGAACTAGCTATACAATTACATTCTTATCTATAGGACCATACCTATACATCTAATTTTAATTTTTTATGGTTATTTCAATACTAAAAACCATTAAAAAAATTGTCAAGAGTGATTTGGACTACTTTTTTGATTGTTTATTGTTATTGGTTATAGACAATTAGAAATAGTTTCATGGCGACAAAGCTTATTCAAAATAAAAATTTTTTGAATCCGTGCAGACAATCGTATAATAAATAAAGTTTTTGGCAAAATAGCGAAAACTATTAGTTTTAACTATTAACTCGCAACAAGGGGATACACAGAAATTCGGGTTTCAACGTCAATTCAGATATTATCTACATTTAGTTTTCCAAAAACAAAACATTCTTGTTTGTCAGCATGTTGTGGAAAATTTTCAGACATTGATAGCGATTTCTTAATTTTTATTCCCACAGTATCGACTGAAAAATACCGGTCAAGCCGAAACCACTGATTAATTAGCGATATGAATAAGTAAACACAGTAAGACAGTAAGTCTTCATCTTCTAAATTTTTTACTGATTGTTATTCATTAATGTTTAGGAAGAAATTTTTTGATTAGGAAAATGTAATTGTTAAACTACCCAACCCAAATGAACAACAACTACTACCTGTAAGACATTGAAACACAAAATTTTACATCGTCTGAGTTTGTTACCCTTTCTTTATTTTTATACGTATCAATACTTGTGAAGGAAAACTTTATCATAACTTCTAATTAAATTTAAATAACTAGGGTCTAATTTCTTTATAATAGTATTAGCATCTAGCAAGGATGATTTAGAGAAAGCTTTAAATAAAATGGAAGCGGTATTGACAAAGCAGTACTGTATGAAAATAAATAAAAGTAAAACAAAAATACTGGTATGCAAAGGAAGAAAAAGTAGGGAAAAAGCGAATGTTAAGATAGGAGACGAAAGATTAGAAGAAGTAGCGGATATTAGGTATCTAGGAAGTCTGATAAGTCAGGACGGAAGGAGTAGTAAGGATATAAAGCAGAGGATAGCGCAGGGTTAAGTTGTTAGGTAGTAGTCAGAGACGTATTAGGGGTAGAAATGGAAGTTAAGAGGGGTAGAAGTAGACCTAGATTAGATTACTGTTCACAAATAGTTAAGGATATGGATTGTGTAGTATCTATAAGTTATAATAGTTATAGATAGAGGGATATAGCAATTTCCTCCTCCCTTAACGCGAGCCTTCAGTTTCCGCCTGTGGCATACGGTAATGTACGAGCCTACAATAAAGAGCTACGGTGTTGACTTAAAATTATTATTGTCTTTTATTCACATACCTGCCCTCAAACATTACAGGTTGTTCTAGTTTTAGGGAAATGCGAAGATTAGCTCAGGATAGGAAGGAGTGGGGGTGCGTGTCCAACCAGTCTTAGGACTGACGACCTTATGATGATGATGGTCTAATTTCTTAATTTTTATCAAACATGTGAAAACTACTCTAGATTTCTTTATTCTATTGCATCTATGATGTTAATTATTCTGTGTTAATTGCCCGGAATTTTTAATTCTTATCTACTGCTTTCGGAAAAGCAAATTGAGATTAATTAAATGTTAACATCCTAAGTTTTACACCACACTCGATTTTATTTCTCTTACTTTTTTTGTAGTTGATCAACTTTAATGAGTCTGGTTGATAAATCTCTTTTTAGTCTACTCTTTTCTTCGTTTACATTTCGTCGTTTTAAATTTACTATTTCTTTATTTGTTCCAAGTTCTATTAGACGTTCTCTCATTACCTAGAAGAACAAAGTGGTTTTCTTAAAAATGTTTCTAATTGTCATATGGAAGAGTTTGTTGAATATTTAATGTATATACTCACTGTGTCTAATTGCAACATATATTTTTTTATGTCACATATAAGATAATCTTCCCTATTAATAGACTTTTCCAGTTGGTCCACACGAAGACGTAGAACGTTTTCGTCGACACGTTTCTTTCGGGAATTGTTACCAGCTGTAACCAATTGCTTTTTCCCAACTTCGTAATACGTTATCTGTTCCTGAAGTTTTTCTTTTAAAAGTCCCGTTTGGGCATCGTCGGCAGTTATGGCACAAGTGAGTCGTCGCATTTCGTCTTGAAGTGCTGTTGCTTGTTTTTGTAAAAGATTTCGCGTCTAAAAGAGCAAGACAAGAGACGCAGTGATAGGTTGCGGATATTATATATAGGGTTGCCACCTTTTCAGGCTTTACATAAAGTATTTCTCAACTAAAAGGTTCAAAAAAAGAAGTACTCAGCATAAAAATAAAGTATTTTATTTTTTGTTTCTAAAAACATATTTTTTGTTACACCTAGCAGCCAGTAACAAATTGCTGTCGCTTTTAAATACATTAATATCCTCTAAACATGGCAAACAAAGATTTAAGTAAACTAAAAGTTCATTTTTAAATAGTTTTAATAAAGCTTTATTCTTGTCGTCCCGCCACTTTGCGTTCATAACAGACAATACTCTTTCTGTAAATGCTGAAGTGGCCGGAACGGATAGCAATAGTGACACTACTTTGAACAGATTTGGGAAATCAGGTTGTTCCATAAATGTGGCTTGCCATTTTTCTGTGCAATATTATTGATGTAAAAATACTCTAAATTTCGAATAATCGCTTACAAAATTACGATGTTTACTTAAGACCTTAAATAAAGTATTTTTGCGTACTTTATGTGTCTTGTAAAGTATAACGTACGCACAGTCGAAATAGAGTACAATACTTTATAATAAAGTACGGGTGGCAACCCTAATTATATATCAAAATAATTAAGTGGTTTTTGAATGTCGAATGGAGCTAGCTATCAAAAAGTTTTAGTTTCATTTTACGCACCTCCGACACTTCATCGAATTTTTTTACTAGTTCTTCATACTTTTGTTGAATTATAACGCCAGATTCGTCGTATACATTCGTTTCTCCTTCTAACTTTGCAAGTTTTGCTTCTAAATGATTCATCTTAAAATCCTAAAAGACAAATTAATTAGTAAATTCCACCTTTTTATTTTGGCATGATCAGGGCGCTAAGTACACGCATTTTACCTGCGTCCTTCGTAGCGCTAAGTACACGCAAAGAGGCCGCGACGTTAATAACACGACATATCTATTAATAATGTATACTTGTGAATGCCACCTAATAATGAAGAACATAGAACAATGTGGGAACTCTTATTTAATATCGTTATTAATGTTATCCCTTCGTAGTATTATATTCATAAGGGTTGTCCGTAAAATAGGTCCCTCAGAATGTCATTTTTTTGGAGTCCGTCACGCTAAGTCACACATTCAGCGACCCCCTGACAAATATTAACTCAAAAAAGGTACCCCTACAAGCGGTTTTTTGTGATTAAAATTTGTTAATTTTACACGAATTTTCCTCTACGGAAATGGTCTAGCAAAAACTAAGTTTTGAAGTTTAACGTAAAAATTAGAAATCATTACAACCCCTAAACACATAAGTTTTTTTATAGGCTTTTAAGTACTTTCCATCGTATTAAAAAATTTCAAGAACTGTCAAATTAAGAAAAAAATTAAAATAAACTTGTTAAACATTTCTTTAGACTCTTTTCCCCCCCTTGTCATATCTCATCACGCTAAAACCCCAAGCAGTACCCCTGCCTCCCCCTTATTTGCGAACGTATTTTATGAACGACCCCGCAGTCATACAAATAAAAATGAAATAAAAAATTTTTATAAAAAATAAGGAACAAAAAATAAATAATATTTTATTTCTGCATACATATAAAGTTTTACTTACGATTGAATTACAACAAAATAAGCAAATGAAATAAATAAATTAAAAAAATAATAAATATAACCGCACAGATTATCAAAGCCAGTAATTCCGTGGTAAAACCCAGAAACCTAAAACAAATAACAAAAAGTTTACCTTTTAACAAAAAAAAACAGGAATAAATAAGAAAAAATGTAGTTTTAATTCGTGGTTAAAAATCGATAAAGCGCTCAGTACGGAAACGATAAAATTAATAATCGACAAAGATGGAAGATTTTTAATAAGATAGATGTAGTGCTTGCTTGTAGACCTCATTTCTTAGCTGTATGTGGAAAGCATGAAAAATTAAGTTTCCAAAATAGTATTGTATTCTACTGTCCCAGTTAGTATAGAATAAGAACATTTTAAGTCTTAAAAAATATTTCATTTCCCTTTGATGTTTGGAAAATTTTGAAATTAGTGAATATGTATCCAAAAAGTAATCAATAACTCGTTTTTGGACTAATTTTATTTACTTATTGACTAGAACATCTTGCATCACATTTTTAGGGATACTTTTTATTTTGTTGTCTTTATGAGTAGAACGTTTTGAAAAGGGGAGATTAAACTTTGTAAATTACATGTATGAAAATTCTTAGAATATTTCCGAACTCGACAGACCAAAAAATTTCAGATTTAGATACAATTAGGGGATGTAAAATCCTAATGGGCTAACCCTCCCCGAATAATATAACAAACTATTTTAATCTGTTAGGGAAAAAAAAAATTATTGATAGATATTTATATCTTATATCATTTTATTAAAAATGTTGTGTATTTTTCCAGTACCTACCTACTTTCTCTTATCTACAAACAAAAGGCAAAAACTTACAATCTCATAGACTGCTTCTTTGTGTTGAACAACGTTATTGTTTGTAGCTTGACTTTCTTTCTTTAATGCTACAATTCGAGATTGCATTCCAGACAGTTCGATTTCTTTCCTTTTTAATTCGTCCTGACTTTGAACCAGTCCTTGCTGCGTGCGATAATACTTGGCTTGAATTCTTCCAACATCTTGAGCAAGCACATTAGCTTGCCTTTGTTCGTATTCTATCATTTTCTCCAGCTCATTCGCTCTTTCAGCCGCTGACATTGACGAATTCGTAATTTCTTTCAGCTTTTTTCTCAAATTTTGGACGTGATTTCGCATATAAATAATTTTCCGTTCTTTATTGAGGATGTCTTTTATTAACATCCGACCTCTCGATCGTTCACTATCTAGTGCATTGGCGGTCGAGATAAGCATTTGTCTGTAAGTGCTCAGCTGTAATTAAAACAATAATAATCACTCATTAATTTTTTTACGTTTTTGTTCCTTTTATACTGATTGAATGCTGAATAGTTAAGGCCAAAACAAAAGTCATGATACGTTCTTACATCGTTCGTCAAACTGATAACATATTGGACGAGTTCATCAAGTTCTCTGCGCATTTTCGATCCTCGTGTGTTCATTTCAGCAACTTCCATTTCAATTTCTCTATTGTTGTTCTTTTGTTCTTCATAGAACATGTTCTGCTCTTCCAACTTTTCCAACGCATCCGCTGTAACTCTCGCAACACTTTCCGCCTCTAAATTAGCTTTAGCTATATTATCATCTTGCCGATAAAGATTTCTTGCGGCCTCTTGCCACTTTCTGATCATCGCCTGCCGTTCAATTCTAAGTTCCTTTAGATGCTTTCCTATAAAATTTTTCCTGTGAAAACTGTCAAACCAAATTTATTGATTTTAAGGCCCTTTTTAACCCTACTCAGCATTTCATTTTTTATTGTTTTTTGTTAATAGGAAACTAGAGGTAATTTTTGTCGGGGTTTAAATAATTTCAGAAGTACATTATGCATTTATTGTTTAATTTTATTTGTTATATCGATTTAAAATTGTCTGTCTGCCTGCCTGCCTGTCTGTCTGTGTGTTTAAAAAATGAAACTTTTAACACTCACAAGGGAATCAAAATGTAAAGGGCACTTCTCTTTGAGATAGGATGATGAAATTTGACAAGAAGTAATGTCTTATAACTAGAGATGTATTTAAATACATAATGCAAATACTTTTTTGATTTGTTATTTCAAATGTAAAACACAAATTAGATTTTCCTTCTGTATTTTAAATGCTAAATGCATGATACGTATTTTTAAAATACTTTTTTGTAGGACCTATTTAATTTTCTACATTTACTTAAGTATCAAATATTTTTTAAGAATACCTTGCAGGCATTTGCCCATTTTTTAAATATTGGAGTATTTTCTAGATTAGTAGTGGTATTTGCTCAATATCACCAGCTGGGAAGATTGAGTATGATTTATATTTTTCTGTTTGAACTGATTGAGATATAGTTTTTCTATCTTTATGTTATAGTTTCTTCAGTTCACTTGTGCCAAAATAGTTTGTTTAGCGTGAAAGATCACAGTCAAAATAGGGTTTTTAAATTTTGGATTAAACGCATTTATTAGCACCCCGCAATATTTTGTACTTTTCAGTCTTATACAGCTGGTGAATATAAATTCGATATTGTTTGGTAGGCTGTTTTGTCGTAATTCATAGAATTTCGTAGTTCTTTGCTAAAGGTACGATTAGTGGTGATTTGGTAGGTGCTGATATCAATTTGGAANGCATTTGCTCATTTCTTAAATATTGCAGTTTTTCTAGACTAATAGTGGGGTTTGCACTATATCACCTACTGCGAAGATTGGGTATGATTCATATTTTTCTATTTGAAATGATTGAGATATAGTTTTTCCATCTAGTTCCATGTTCTAGTTTCTTTAGTTCAGCAACGAAGAATTCTTCTTTATGTTTCGTTATTTGCGTTTGTCATCCATTTTAATTGAAGAAAAAACACTGATGCCAAAATAGTTTATTTACCATGAAAGATCAGAGGGATGCAAATAATTTTATTGATGTAAAATCAACAGAATTTTGGATTATAGGCATTTATTAGCACACCACAATGTCTTGCAGTTTTTCAGTTTTACTCAGCTGGCGTATATTAAAATTTGCGGGCTGTTTTGTCATAATTGCGATAAGTGGTGATTTAGCAGGTGCTGATGTCATTTGAAACTTCAAAATTCCATAGACCACGACATTGAACCCGGAAAACAATATCGGTCCAATATTTTAAATTATCCATTTCCGAGGAATTTAGAATTTTTTGGACTCTCTTCAATTAAAGAATTAGAAGGCATTCATGGAATGTCTCTTTGTTCCCTTTTTAAGCTTCTAATAGCTTCAAAGGCCAGGGCGGCAACTTCATTTATCATTTTATACAATGTTTGATCGGTGATACTAGCAAAACTTTAACGCAAAAATGTATTTTGCATTTTTCAAATATAAAATACGTTTGGAAAAGTATTTTCAATAAAATACAAAATGCTTTTCTCGAAACGGTATTTAAATGCAAGATAATTATTTTGTATTTGCATTTTAAATGCAAGTATTTCAAATAAATCACATCTCTGCTTATCACAAAATTGTTTGAGGGTAACCTTAAAAGATACACGGAAAAAGTGGGAAAAATTATCGAAACTCGATTCCCGTGACAGACAAACTATTTAGACATATACCTACAAATTTATAAGGAACTTGGTCGGCTTATAAAATTTCTTTCTAGGAATTAAAATGACTTGTCGATCATTTTTTAATGATAGAGACGCACCCAAAATAAAAATTTCAAATGCTCTCGAAAAAAACACACAGATCTGGTCCCAGAATTGCCTTTGGACTTTGAAATTTCAGATTATTGTAATCTCAAAACCGAATAAGCTAAAATTTCAACAGGGTTAGAAGTAAGAAGAAATTGTTCACCTGTCCCAATTTGCAAACTTTAAGATAGCACAATATTTTTTCAAGTTTTCTCCTTCACTCTAACCTTCATGCAAATTATATACCGTCATTCGGGTTAAACTATTTCGATATCTCGGTGTCCTAGAGCGAATTCTAATTCAATGAAAAAGATTTCACGGAAACTATCTTCCCCTTGGTTGTTTTGTACCTTTACTCTATATAGTCACTCCCAAAAAGATCAGGAGTTGTATTTTCTGAATTTCGAAGTGAAAATGTATATCTCAATATCCTGACCTACCGAATCAATTCTGATTTTATTGTAGATTAGCTTTTCCCCGCGGCTTCGCTCGCAGAAATTAATATTGTTTCTCCATAAAACCATTTAACTCCTAATTCACCCTTACAACGTTTTAATTTTATGTAATGTCGCCATCTTAAATTTCAAATACAAACGTAGCAACAACATTTCATCCTTAAGGGTTGATTTTTAAAAATCGCCGAGACACGTGTATTTGCTTAATTTCAGCAATGAACAACCTTCGAGTAAATCCGAGTACAAATAAAATATACCCCATGGAAACGTTGCAACCTCTTTTCATTTGATTAATAATATCAAACAGCATATATGTCAAGTTTCAAGTAAATTCAACCACAAATGAAGTATATCCCAAACAAAAATTGCAACACCTTTTTACCCCGCCTCCCTTTGGAAGTTGAATTTTTTAAAATGTCGTGATAGGTCTTTCAGAAATTAAATGAGAGACCATTGAGACAAAGTTTCAAGTAAATCTGACCACAAATAATATATGTTCCATTTAAACATTGCAACTCCTCCCACCTAACAGAGATTGAATTTTTTAACCAGTTTCAAGTAAATCGGACCAAAAACAAACATGCAAACTTTGCAAACCCCTTTCAGCTTCCTAAAGAGGTAGAATTTTGTAAAATGTTGAAATAGGTATGCACATCACTAATTTAATATGAAAAAGCATTAATGCCAAGTTTCGAAAATTAGTCGTACCAACTCAGAAACCTTCTTTGGCTCGTGCACAACAACTTTGCTAAAGATCGTCACATAATAAAATGCATGGTTTACGATTCTATAAAGGACATACAGACAAACATTCATTTTTATATATATAGAAAATTCGGGCTATTTAATGGGTTTTGTTAATCACAGTGGCAAATTCGGCCGGAAGCATTTTGTAAATTAGGTCGATTTGTGCTCAAGTAGACGCAGAAAATAAAAACATTTTAATCTTAAGTCAAGTCTTTACTCCTACTTTTAATAATAATCATTTTTTCTCACTCTAAAAAGGTAAATGTGCAATCCAGTATCACTTTTCTCTAAAGTAGTTCATTTTCTTTTTTGGTTTATTTGAAAATTTATTAAAATACTCTTCTACACGACAACGTTTTTACCGAACAAGGATTACGAGGTAGGATAGGTAAGGTTATTATCATGAATAAAATATATAAAAATGAATTGCTGTTCATTAGTCACGCTAAAACTCGATAACGGCTGGACCGATTTGGCTAATTTTGGTATTGAATTAAGTCCAGGGAAGGTTTAAAAGGTAAATAAATATGAAAGTTGTTAACTATCTTTCAGATTATTTTTATGTAGATTGATAAATCTTAAGTTCTGTCAAATTAAATTTCTGAACGCAACCATAATATCTGACATTTGTCAACTAAGTTTATTTTATACAAAAATTTAGGTCTTTTATATATCGATTGGGGCAGTACGAAGTTTGCCGGGACAGCTAGTCATGGATAAAATTCTCCCCTTCACCGCGATTTGTACGGAGCAGCTGATTATTTTGATTTAATGACCGGCCGAGTATGCCACTGTCCGAACGTGCCCTTATTTAAATACCTGTCCTTTGCAATATATTTTCACTATTTATTACATCTGCTGCAACTTTGTTGATTGCATTCTGTCTGGCAATTTGATCCGCTTGTAGGTTCTTCCTTTGAATTTCAAGTTCACTAATTTTCCTTCTGTCCTCTTTAGCAAATTTCATGAGCAATTCGTTATCGTCGCTTTTAATTTTAAGCGACTCCTCCCACGTGTTAAGGGCTTCTGTATCCCAGTCAAGTTCTGCTTTGATTTTCTCAATTTTTTCTAGAGTTCTGCTTAGATCATTTTTCTTGGTCTCTTGGCGTCTCGTCACTTCGTCAGTCTCTTTCGTTAACCGTTTAGTTTCTCCGATTGTGCTTTGCCTTTCAGCAGTAACTGTATGATATTTGCTCTCTTCCACATCGATTTGCTGTTGAAATATTGTCAGAAGGCGCTAAAAATAATATTTTTTTTATTAATCTTCCACCCCAGTGAAACGTTTAATTTTCCATATTAATAATTATAATTTACATCCAGTATTTGTTACTTTGAAACAAAAATAAAATGAGAAAACTTTTTGGTACTATTTTATGCAAAAAGAACTTTAACAATGATGAAATTTTTATTTACCTGATTTTCATCATTTTGTTGTTTAACTAATTTCAAATGCCCTTTTAATGAATTGCACTTTTCGTCCACATTTTCAAATGCCGTTCTTGCATCACGTTTTCGAAGTATGAGTTTTTCGAGTTCTTCTTGAAGACGTTGGTTTTCGTCGTTTGCCACAGGGATTCGGAATCCCTTTTTCCATCCTTCGATATCTAATGCTTGCTCCATTTTATTTTATAGCTTTTTCAATACTTTTAAGAACGAGTAACTACAAAAAGCACACTTATGTCTCATTGTCAAACAGATACCAATTTGCCACAAACACAAAAGTTGTTTTTGTTGTCATGGCAATTTCATAAATTAGGTCCTATCGTATATCTATCTGCATACATACATGTGTATGCAAGTTCAATCAGTGTAATATTTCTGGTTTCTAAATTTTTGGTGTCCAGTTAAAAAATCATCTATAAATATGGAAATGATATTTAACGATGTCAAAAATTTTTCTCTATTCTAGACTAAATGCAATGTGCTCGTTGCAGTCAAAAAATTTTTCAAACAATACTTGCTCCTATTTTAATACAAGATCATCTGTATTATCCAAATATTATTATTTACTATACAGAGCGATTGAAAATAGAAAAATAAGTTTCGTTTAAATGACAGCCATATGAAATATCGCTTCAATCGAAAAAAGTTATAAGAAAAAGTTGTTCAGAATGCCGAAAATCGCGACGATATTCAATTGTTAAAATTTATCTATTGTTGATCTCTGGAATTTTACGTTGAAATGTTTTTATTTCAATTAAATGCTGCTTAAATAGGGTAAATTGTTCTTCCAAACTCCATACCTACATCTTTCCATTTGCTAACGTTTTGAATCACGATTTTTTGATCTTTTTTTTACTAGTTTTTAAGTTTTTATTGATGTACAGTATGTATTTCTAATTGTATTATAATTCGAACTCTTTATTTCAGTGGATTTAATTTTTCTTTAGATACAGTTCCCTTATTCTTTTTAATTATTATAATAAACAATAAATATTAACATAAAAATATTTCTAAGGTTTACTTCTTTTTCAAGTAAATACATTTTTATTTGTCCAAATAACATCATTTTCTAAAATTAATCATGAATTTATTTCAAAAAAATATAAGAATGATTAAAATAATCTCAAAATCCTGTGAGTTTCCCAAATCTACCTTTAAATTAGACTAACGATTTGTTATACATGTGGTACAATATGAGACAAAATACTTGTAAGGTAAAATTATCGTGTCTAGATTCGATTTAAATTGAAGCAGAATGTTTAATATTGCTAGATTTGCAGTATTTTATTTAATATAACGCCACGCTGTCATTTTATTGCTATTTTCTGGCTTGTCGGAGCATGACTATTTTGCTTGAGGCGTTAATTGTTTAATAGCGTTGTTAATTCTTTTTTTTGTCAATTTCATGTAGATTGGCCGAGAAACGGAAGAAAGCATCGAAGTTTACTGTTATCCTTGTTGGACCCCGCTTGCCTTTGACTTTGCATTTAGTTAAGGTAAGAATATACGCCGTAATGTGTTATGTGCTTAATATAAACAGAAAGGGACCGTTCGTAAAATACTTTCACAAACAAGAGAAGGGAGGGGTATTGCGTAACGTGACGAGATAATGGGGGGAGGTCTAAAGAAATGTGACGTTCGAAGTTCGAAGGATGTCACCCTACAATTATCCAATACAGTATTGACAAAACTAGGGTTTTATATAAATAATTAATAGTATCATGATTTTCGAATTCAGTCGTGGCTCTATGAATAAAACTAGTGGTTCAGTAAGCTCTAGAAAAAATACGTTTAGTCTGAATTCAATTTGAATTTTAATTTTCCGTCAAAAATTACCCCTAGATCCTCCATTTCCAATGACCTAACTAACAAACCATCAAGCGTTTTACAGAAAGCCATGACTTTTCTCAACATTTAAAATAACACCATTAACTCTAATGTGAAATGAAAGCCAAAAAAGATGGTTAAAGGTTATTGATTTATTGAAAAACAACAACCAGCTAGTCGCTCAAGTTGTCGAATTTTCTCATTCAAAAATAAATGGACAACAAATTTCTGTTCCAGTCATTAAAGATAGATGCTGTTTAGTTTATTTTATTTTTTCAGCTCAAGAATGTCTGATTTGATTAATAATAGTGATTTTTTAACTAGCAAATACTATTAAATGGCGACGCGCCCTTAGTTTTAACTGATGCCTAATTCTTGTTATAAAACAATCACGCGTTTTATAAAAAAATATGATATTTCTCAGTATTTATTATAAGGTCATTAAGCACACACTAATTACCATGTCTGTGCGCATTATCTTTCTATAAGCATTTACTTAGAAATATTGCTTTAATTGTTAGAAATTTACATAGGTGATTAAAATAAGTAGTTAACGTCTTTCTTTTAATGGGGACGATTAGTTCCTTTTTAGGAATTAAACTGAGGTAGTATAATTGAACGCACCTATAGAATCCATAATGCATCCATAATATAGAAATAATTTTTATCTATGGATCTTCCTGTTGTCTATCGTCTGTCATCTCCTCACTCATCCTGTCTGTAGACGCGACGTTTGCCGGTTAGTTGCTGTATTGCTCTTCTTTAATGGAAGCGATGTTTGAAGGTATTTAGCGCTAATCTTTATTTACTTTTGATTTGATTGTGTGAAATACGCTTCTATAAATTTATTTAGTGATTAATATGTATTCATTACGGTTGCTTAGTTTTTAAGCATGGATATTTTTTCGATGGTGGGTTTCTGGTCCAACCTGCAACTTAGAGTCCATCTTGGCAACTTGGTTATCTACTCATCTTTTGCGAATTTTTGTAGATTCTCAGTTTATTTGAGACCGAGCAATTAGGGTTTTGTTAGAGCTTTTAAATTTTGAAAATGAATTTAGACGATGTTTGCAGATTATTGATATTAATGTGACCACGCCGCGGAGAATTGTTTCGTTTTATAGCTAAAACGTGTTAAGATACTTCTCTAAAATCTTATTCTCCCTTCGTAAATTTCTATTTGAAAAATTTTCATTCTTGCCTTGTTATTCTGTAGATTGGGTCTTAACGATTTGTTTTGTTTTTTCTACAATATAGACATGACTTGGAGATGGCGTTGTTGGATTAAATGGCCGAACAATTTACGGATGTAGTGTTTTTAGCAGTCAGACACTTATTTTTTATTTCCAAGAATGCTTCCAGTGAGCTGGTCGAAAAATTCTGTAGACATCGGATGTGAATGATGGTAATTATCATTAATAATAATAATATTAACAAAATTAGTCAACATATGACTAATATTAAATTGTTTCGAACAGTTTCTATTAAAATTTAATAAATAAGCACAGAGAGGGCAAACCAAAAGGACTTCAAAACGTGAAGATACAGAGCCCCATTCATGCTTTTTCTACTTGGTCTTAGAGAGGTGGCATTCGTATGAAGGGTAAGAAATCAGTTAATCAAAGTTATTTTATGAAGTATTTAGGGAATTGTGTTTTCTGAGTCTTGTACCAACTGATTTAACAATAATTCTAATTCTTTACTCATTCCTGGGTTGTCATTGATTATTTGATTTAAAACTTTATTATTTGATTAATGAAAATTAGGGCTTAGTATCTTAAAAGATTTAAAAATTGAGTTGTAACTAATATTAAATTGTTTCGGCAGGTCGTCATTTCAGCATATAAAGGAACGTCGTCGATATGACAAATAAGGGCTGGATACTTGGAGAAGTACAGTGCTGTTAATGTTGTCTCTCCTGGACCTGAGGATCTTCTGTAGAAAAGGTAAGAAATTCTTAATTATTCTATAGTCATTTTTATAAAATTGTTTTTAATTACCTTAAAGAGGGTAAATCTGAAGGACTTGAAACGTGGAGATGCGGAGCCCCATTCATACAAACATAGTAATTAAGATGAAACTAACATTAAATTATTTCAACAGGTTATCATTTAAAATTATTAAATGAACAAGGAGACAAAAAACAAGAAGGATTCCAAACATGGAGAAGTGGAGCCCTGTTAATGTTCCGTCCTTTTAGATTTGAAAAGTGCAATTTTTTGAGAACAAATGAAGTCCAATTCACATTGATGTATTTAGGAATAAAACTTGAGCATCGTACAATTAACCTCGAGGTTAGTAACTTCTTTATCGTTTATTATTTTGATGGTACGTAATTTTCATAGTAATTTGCCATGTCTGGCATCTATGGTTTTTATTCTCTAACAGTTATCTATTGCCCACATCTATGATTTTCTTCTATCAATTATCTATTGTGTGCAAGCATCTATGGTTATTTCTATTGCCTTTATCTATGTCTTGAATAAAATTGACAGCACATCGCCATTTTATGATTTGGGTATTTTACTTGCTTTTTCGTGTTTTTTACTTAATGTAATCTCTTCTTTAATTAATAATGTAATTAATATTTGTTTTTGTCCGTTTCTGCAGATCGTTCAAATGGTGAGAAAGGAAGAATTAATGTTCAGATTGATGGTATTGCAACAGCCAATGTCTTGTCTTGATTTGCTGTTTTCGTCTTCAACTTGCAACATTATGCAGTTAATATTCAACCGATGAGTGTGAGCCAGAGAAGATTTATATAAATCTCACTGAAACAAGTTTTCTGCTATGATATTCCTTCTGGATTTAGTTTGCTTTTCACACATGCAAACTTGGGAACTTTACAGTAGTCTACTGTTTACTAAGGTAAGAGTATATAATATAATTAATATTAATAGCTCTTTATTAATCTGTTACCACCCTATCTGTTTCAGATCGACGTTGGAGAAGACAAAGATGACCCAGTAGTTGAAATAGTTCTTTATCTTGCATGCTCTATCTAGTAGAATTCATTAAGTTCATTTTATTCAAATTAATTTTTTATTTTGCATGTTTTTTTTTGTAGTTTCTTGTAGTTTTTATATAGTTAATTTGATATATTTTTTATTTTGCATGCGTGTTTTTGTTCATTTTATTTGAAGTAATTGTAGATTGTATATGTTTTTATTATTTTTTTGTCATAGTAGTAGTGTAGTAGTAGTACTTACTAACATGTTGAGTAGTTGTAGTATAGTCTAACATGTCTCTTGCTTACCTCTTCGCTTAGCTTACTGCATATTCTTCCTAATTTGCTTTGCATTTACCCTACGAGTTCTACATGATTCAACGTTTCGTTATCGTGTGTGTTTCTTCTCACCCTTGTGGAATTAGGGAGGGCCTCCCCGAACGACTTCCCTTGGGCTTAGCTATTTAGTTGATCTTAAAAGTGTCTTATACACTTTTCGCGAGTCTACTCTAGCGTTACTTCCTTTCAGACAGGGTACAGTGGGTTATCTGGAATAGGAGCAATAGGCGACTG